TATTTTTCACAAAATTTGTATACTTTAAAAAAACCAATTCTAACGTTTATCCGAAATATTTTGTCACATAGTATTTCGGATAAACGACGTAATAATTACATAATCACAAATTTAAGAAATTCATTTCGTTCGTTCTAATTATAAATAACATTAGAATAGTATGATAATGATACATTCCGGTCGATTTCTACTGTATCAACAGGAATAGAAACACGTGCAATGACCTTTCATAGCTATGCAAGTAAATGCATTCATCTACTATTACACGTTCGCGATTCATCATTGATTCTTCTCCCATTTCGAATAGTTATTAATATAATAGAAAAGCTAAGTTTGTATCCCTTTTTATAACATACTTTTTATTTAACGCTCAATATCTATAATCGTCTATTTGTTTCCACTTTATAATTACTGGCAAATGTATGACAATAACATTACCTACGCACGTACTATCTTTAACGTGCATTTCAATTTTTCTAAATATAAAAATATTTAATCAAAGATGGAAAACAGATGTAAAAGCAAGAAAAAAGGATTATACATAACGCAAACGCGTGTATGTAGATATACATATACATATACGTACGCGGGCGCGCACGCGCACACACACACACACACACACACACACACATATAGTAATCGAAGTCAAATATTGAAAATAAATCGAAATTAACATACCTTTCTAAAAACCACGCACTCTATGTCCTACGCGGAGAATAATTTCTGTTATCTCCGAAATTTGCAAAGCTACACGGACGTTCGCTGTGTGTATCCAAACTCCATTACCATGAACATTAACTAAACACAGGATAGACGTGACATCATGTGGGTCGTCGTGTTACTCGCTTTTCGTGCCTCACATTCTGAAATACCGAGAAAAGTTAGAATGTTCCTTACGCCATCTGTGATCCACGGTGGAAATTACATTCAACTTAGTCGTCGTAAGCGATAAAATCAGTAGCTAGGAAGATCTTCATTTGTTGAAACGTTGATTAAAAAAAAACGCTGGCTTTAGGAGATTGAACTATAGGAGAAATGAAAAATAAATGTGAATTTATTTACGCATAATACAATAAATATAAACTTTTATAAACTTAACAGTTTATAATTATAATTATTTATAAACTTATTTTAACGGATTTATTTTTAAGACTGAGGTTATTTAAGATGTTAGTTGTACGAGTTAATTATAAGATGTACATGGTTTGAATCGGTTTATAAAAATGTCATATCGCTTACAATATTACTCACTGCAAAATATTGTAAAACTTGAAAATATTTGTAATTTGTCTTAAAGTTGAACGACTTCTAGAGTCTAGAATAATCAATTCAGATTTGATAAGATCCTTCAACATCAAAGAATTTTAGTACGGCGCAGAATTCCGTAACGTGAAATTTGAAAAATGATTCTGTTTATAATTTCTGTTTATAATTCTGATTTTCTCGAGAATTGACAGCAGTATTTAATTTGAAATTTCAGATATTTGGGATTTAGTATTAGAAAACTATCACACGAAATCTATACGATCCAACCGTTTTCCAGATATGACAAATTTTCGAAAAATTTTTGAAAGCGAATTACTCTTATTTTTAGAAAAAAAGCGCCATTTCTGAAAACGTGTCGTTAATTTCAAGCATAGACGAGGTACATGTATGACTCGTTCACATCTCGTCTGTGTTTCGAATATCGAAAGTTTTGAAGATCGAGTTTATCTCGTTCGAATTTGAAAGTAAATCGTTTAAGAAATAAATTTAAAAGTAAAATGAGATTTTCGCTTTGAAATTTTGTATTCGAAACTTATAGACGATATTGTAAGCAGATTTGAATTGATTTTCACAGTTATTTTAACATTAGTTATAGTTATTTTTATTATTTTTACAATCCATTATAATAAATCTTACAGTATCTTACATAAGATCTGTATAATTTACAGACTTAGCTTTGCTCAATTAATCATATAGACTCGCGAAATTCAATTCGCACAATCGTATAAAATGCATTACAATGGAATTAAAAAAAGGGCAGCAGCTACAGAAGTATAGAAATTAATCATCTCTTAATTAGCTTTTTTTTCATCGAAATACTAGTGAGATTGAAGTATCATGTATCTCGTCTTTGAGGTTACTCGGTTAAAACAAGTCTGTCCAAATGGTGAAGCTCGTACGTTGCTAGAAGGAAAGGAACGGAAACGACGGAGGTGAAAAGTAAGTATGGAGGGGATTATTCCTCTCTCGAAAAGGGCACAAACCGCCAGTTGGACAGACTTGGATTAAAAGATGCACGCTAGACAGTTCTAAACGGACTCGACAAATGACACCTTGTGGTCGTTCGTATGTATATGGGAAATAGATGCATTCCGCGTTAGACAATTCTTTCTATATATAGCAACTCGGCGCTATATATAGAGAGATAAACGTTAATTCAGCACTGTATCACCACCGCTATGCAGCGCTAATATTTCAATATTCATAAACGCATCACATTTTTGCAAAAAAAAAAAAAAAAAAAAAA